GCAGTACCTATTTAAAGCAACACGCAACGAGAGAGAGACAGAAAACAAGAAAGAAGTGAAAAGAAATCACACTGGAAGAAATTTGAAGCGCAAATGATTACTTTTCCAACCCTATCTGCAAATGACGTACAAAATATCTGTTTTGGTATTTGTTGCGTGAATCTCGATTGCAAAATCTGACAAGGTATTTTGATTTAGGAACGTACCAAATCAAACAAGCGAAAAACTATATTGTTGAACATGCCAAACCATCACTAATGGATGACGATCAATATGAATTCATCGTCGAAGTTTTATCAAGATATAATGATCTTGTACAAGTACGTTTTGCTTCCAAATATTCCAATAGAAAAAAATATATGGCTACTGTCCAATTTGATGATAAGGATGATGATGAACCAATTAAAGGACGTTTTTGTACTTGTTTGGTCGGGGCGCGCATTATTGGATGTTGTGCACATGTAACAGCACTTATATGGCATCTTGGTATCTGTCGTGACGAAACTATTCCTACTGATGATCAACTCTCCGCAAGCAACTTTCTTAGTTCTGTTGAAGACTGCATTCAACATTCAGATGTGATGATGGCAGTACCGGCACGGATCAAAGTGAAAGCGACGACAACTAAAACACTTCATCTATCTCTGTATTATGGACGTTTTCATTGTTAATTTTATCATGATTGAAATACATTCTTCGTAAATCTTACCTCAGCTACTTGCTTAATTTAAAAATACTGAGAACTATCCGACATATTCGTCACTATTCGCAGGTCGACACATTGGATATTACAGCAGGTCAAGTTAAATTTGTTCACAAGAACAACATTTATTATTTTCACATAAATCAGATATACATCATACTTTCATCACTTATACTAGTGTATCACGCCCAACCTTTAGACTCTATGTCCCTGATAAAAAAATTTTGCCAGACCAATGACGAGATATAAAGTATACCAGTTTGTAGCCCGTGAAAAACTGCGTCGAACCTTATATAGAAAATCTCATTGTAGAGAAATTTTTATTGATCTTTGAAATGTCAACTTCTATCCCATTGTTCACAATATTGGTACAGGTACCGTTTGTTCCACATAAATTTATGTTTTATCTGTCTTTTTAGGATGGCTTATATAGAGATTTGTGCAGAATTTCTTGCTCTTTCAAGTGAGACTATTTGTAGCCATACCACATCACATTCCTGTTAACTTTTAGTCAAAATACAGCGTTTTTCTAGGGTAAAAACTAAGCAAAGGAATCATTCGCCCGAAACCATCGAATGGCTTGCCGAGTGGACTGAATATGTCATAGAAAGATTCACCATCTTATTCTGTATCTTTTGATATGTATCTTTTAAGAAATTAAAGATGCGTCAATTCCTGTTCTTATACGCCTCCGTCCTTTCCTCTTACGAATGAATCTCTTTGAAAGATTTTGTTTATCATTGAAACTTAACGTAAAAAATTTACGTATTGAAATAATTTGTTTATCATGTTTAACAAAACTTTGTCTGGTGAATTCAAGACTCAATGAATTATTTCAAATGGTTTCGTAAGTTGTATTCACAATAATTTTGTGAAACACGATCTGAAAGAGAATGTTGAAGTTTAAGAGTAGAAATTTGAACCGACTATTCCCGCCCCCCCCCCTCCTCCCCAGACGTGGCAGACACCTTAGCAATGGTCTGTCACTGACGTGATAGATCATGACAGACCCTTTAGTATTTTCTCACTCACAATCTAAATAAAAAGGTCGATCGTGTTTCACATTTTGATCCCGCAGGGATTGCGCTGACAGCTTTTTTTTCTTTTTCTTTCTACTATTTTGTCCATTCCAGCTTCAACTGAATTATCATGTCAACTGTGACATATGTGGTTTTTAAATAAGTTTTTCAAAAAAAAAATTGCGTTCAATAATATTCCGAGTCAAGCTGTTTTTCCTGTGCTTGACGTGCACACAACTTAACATTTGCCGATAGAAAATGAGTTTCTTACTCAAGAAGCCCAAGGAGTTTATGCGAATTCGAAAAAATTCCATTCAAGCGTACGATTCAAGGCAGTGGATCCCCACATGTCGAACAGAGAAAGATTTTTGATCTGGAAAGTAATTGAAAGTAAAAATTGTCCTTTTTTACGTAGAATTTTTTCTTATGCATATTTTTCAAGATTTGTTCAAATAGGGGTGTGAAGTTATGGTTATTTTGAAAATCACTCTAGCTTGCATTTCACAACAGGTGAATGTATTCGTATAAATTATATAGCAATAAAAATAGGGCAAAATTTTCCGCAGAAAGAAATAATGAAAAATGAAATGCATCAAGATTTTGAGAAATGCTAAAGAGAGTTATTTTTAAAATAACCATAACTTCCCACCCCTAGTTCACCGTATATGACTTTCTTGCTTCAGAAACTCAAGAAATGCATGCATATATAAGAATATATAGTCGATTATCTCATTCATTTCACTGAGTAGAAATCATCAAAATTGAATTGAATAATATGATAAATATACATTGGATATTTATACTTATTTTGCGCCGAAAAAATCGCTACTATCACATTCTAACATTTAAAATTCTTTTAACAAAAATAGAATTACATTAGATTTGGGATCCGATTGTGCATATCAGATATCAATAGAAACTAAGATACAGGTATACAAAGAAGTAGAAAACATAAGCAAAGCTCAATGATTGGTCGTAAAAGACTTTCTTGTCAACATCTAAGAAAAATGAAGAAAAAATATCCTTTCCTTCACATTTTTCAATTAACCTTCTAGCGTTATATGAGAATGATAATTAAAAAATACAACAGGAGATTAGAAGAAGCAGAAAACACGAAATAATATCCCAGAAAGCACATCAGCCAGTAGTTCAAAGAAATCTCGTATCCGATATTAGGTGAAAAAAATATTAAACGCTTTGTATGTATCTTTTTAGTTTTGTCAACATTTCTAGAAAGGCCACGTGCATATCTGTATCATAAGTAGTTAGCAATCATCATAAACGTACAAATGTCGTCATCAACTTTGACAGCTATTCAAAATCAACTCAGTCTTTATGGGAATGCAATTTTTGCGGTCGTGGGAAATATTGGTAACGTATTCATCATTTTAATTTTTGGTCGACAACATACAACTGCATGTTCAATTTATTTAATAAGTTCAGCTGTCGTGAATTTTATTTTTTTAACGGTGAATGGCTATTTTCAAATATTTCCTTTTAATTATAGTGGTGGAACAAATGGTTCAATAATTTTTTGTAAAGTATCTGCTTATATACTAAATGTTCTCGGACAATTATCGAAAACAATACTTATATTCGCATGTATGGATCGTTTCCTGATTACAAGTGAACGTGCTAGTATTCGAGCATTTACTACAATTAAGCGAGCAAAATATCTTATCTTGCTTTCTTTTATTTTTTGGTCATTATTTACTCTCCATGTTCCTATCATGAGAACAGTTACTAATGGACGATGTGGTGCATCTGGCATTTATTCAACAATTTTTGCATTTCTATTTGTTAGTTTATTTCCAATTATCATAGCAGCTATATTTGGTCATTTAACTTATCAAAATATGAGACAAATGCAAATTCGTGTTCATCCAACTGTACAAAATACAAATAATTTTTTGCAACGACGAGATCGAGATTTATTAACTATTGTTACTGCTGAAATAATTACTTATGTTGTTACAACAACTCTATATCCCGTTATTCTTTTAGAAACAATAATAAGTCAAAATGTTGTATCAAATAAAAGTGTGCTATATTCACAAATTGAAGGTTTTATACTTAGTATTGCATATCTTTTATTATTCTCTAATAGTGCTGCACCTTTCTATACTTATTTTATTGCATCAAAATCATTTCGTCGAGATTTTAAAAAATTAATTGTAAATATTTATCACAAAATAACAAGACAAAAACCTGTTGAGAATAATACTACAATAACTCGAGCATTAACACAACAAGAGACTCGCGTTTAGTTAGATGACTGCACTAAATTTTTCAATGTTTTATGTATTATTTTTGTTGTTTGTCACCAATCTTTTAATTTATCAATCCAACATAAAAACTTCCTTTGTTACAATTATTTAGTGTGGTAATTTTTCGTTATCAACCCTTCCTTATAAACAAACTTGTCACATTAAAACATCAAATCAATAAACATCAAATGCTTGAGAATAATTTGATTAATGTGTATTCTTAGGAATTTCAGTAGGACAATATCACAATCACTCTGAAAAAAAGGATTTATGATAGGGGTGTTACTTTATTTTCTTTTTCTTTATACTAAACAAATAGCGCACATCCTGCGGATTCGCTGATCCTTTTCTGAAAGAATGATACTTCATTGTGAATTAAAAATAGTTTTATTCTAAAAATGTCATTTCTGAATTATAATTGATCTCAATTATCAATGGTTGACTTTATCACTTGCTACAAAAAGATTGTATAGATATTAAATGAATCTGATCGCGTAGAACGATGCAGTTCTTAAACCTTTAAGTTTTGATTAAACATATCTATCAATGATCATGTTAATCGATATTTTCTGTCCAAGTGACTCATTTAGGTAGTATAAGGTTAGAAGCTATCGTCAATTGCTAATACATGTAGTACAACACTCGATAAAGAAGAAGTGTAGTGGTCTTCCTTTCGTATTTTGCTGTTCATTGATGTCGAATATTTCTTTGTTCGATTCTCAATGTTTATTTATCTATCTGAGTTAATCAAACACAAATCGACAATAAAGCATCATTTTCTGCCAAACGAGATCAATCTGTTACCTTTCGATAATCAATACAAGAACATGATAATTCGTAGAAAAAAACAATAATATTACTTCCTCTATTGGTAGGATGAGATATTTCTTATATTACTGTTCATTTCAGAATTAAATGGCCGTGGGCATTTTTTGAATAATTCCATAAGGACAAAAGATAAAGAGCTGATATTTTTACACTATATAGAGTCGAGGTTGCTCTATCGTTTCATATTGTCAATGAAAAATGTCAGTCATTTTTCCTCTAGCATACACTATGAGCTTTGAAGATGAGCATAATCAGTAATAAAAATTAAATGCTTTCCCAACTCTAAGATAATGGACAGATAGCCCAACTTCGCCGCTATCGATCCACGTAAGGCCGAGGTCGATAGCTGTTTGCGTTTCAAAAATACAAAGGTTTTACTGAAGGCTAGTGATCAGGTTTTTTCCAAAATTTAAGCGAATAAAAAATATTTTCTTCTGTAAAGTTTTGTTGTCTTTTATTTCCTGACATGATTATTAACCTTCAGAGTCTTTTTTTTAATTGGAATAACATTAAAACAAACTCAAAATATAGTTTTTGATGATAGTGAACCAATATCTTTAGTTAGTTTTATTCCCTCGACTGTAGAGAGGGTCATATGAAAAAAATGGGTTGTGTGTGTGTTTGTGTGTCTGCGTCGGGATCAAAAGAACATCAGGGTAAAAAAAACATCCATTTAAAGTTCTTCTGTAGAAAGGTTGACGAAAGTAAATCAGGGTCGGAGAATCCGAATCTAAAGTTAGTTTCTGAAAGTTTTGAATTGAATTTTTTTGGTTCGGAAGAAAAGGCTTTTTTGAAAAAATAACTTTTTCTTGACTGTAGGAAGGGTTATATAAAGTAAAATAAATTTTCGTCTGTTTTTGTCAGATTGAAAGGTGAAACGTCATAAAAAACGTTGGCTAAGTGTTCGATTCTCGTGCTTTTAATGTT